AAGTGAACAAAGAAGTTGAAGTTGGTTTCAAATGATGTTCGGGGGAATGGGATAAGTGGGAAACCCACACGGCGACGAGCATGATATAAAAACTCAGAGCAAAACCGGCTCCGGCATTCAGTCGTTGGTCGCTGGTCGAGTCGGCGAAAGTTACGTTTACGAATCTCGGGGCAGGCATCGCTATTGATTCTGCTGTTGCCTACAAATAGAGCAGACGGGAACTGCCAGTAAATCAATGTGACGTAGAATCGCGAAAAGTACCCGCTCCACGCTAATTTTTGAAAACAATGCAGTACCTAAGCTACCTTTATGAGAAAATATTCGGAGGCAGTCCCCCATCAGACGACACGCAAGGGGGCTGCTACCACACGTAAGTGAAAAACACTCTGGGAAGCTGCGAGAGAATTCCCCTCCAACTAATCTCTTGTTGGTTTTCCCGACTTTCAGACCCCGCAAAGTGGTGTGCTTTGGCAATGTCTTGCTGGACCGCTTGGTGAAGCTGGAGGACCCGGAACTGCTGCAGCGCTACGACCTGGAACTGGGCTCCAAGGGGGAAATGGAGCTGGAGAAACTCAACAAACTGGCCCTAGAAGCTGCCGAGAGGTAAGAACTGTTGTACCGGGGATCCTTAGGGTATCATTTAAAAAAATCGTTTCTCGACAGTTCCCAATGCCTGACAAAGCCAGGTGGCTCGGCCCTCAACACAGCTCGAATCCTCAAGCAACTGGGCACCGATCCCACCTTCTTTGGAGCCGTGGGCGCGGACAATCATGCGGAGGAGCTGCGTCTCATCTTCCAGGAGCGGGGCATCGAGGCCCGGCTGCAGACAATCGAGTCGACGCACACGGGCCAGTGTGTGTGCCTCATGTACGAGGACAATCCCACGCTCTACGCGAATATTGGCGCCTCCGCCCAGTTCTCGGTGCATGCACTGAGCCAGGCGGCCATCCACGAGGGGCAGAGCTTCCTGCGCCCCCTCGAGCGCAAGCAGATCCTGTACGTCGAGGGTTTCTTTGTGCCACAGTGTGCCGATGTGTGCGACTACATCGTGGAGAATCTGGTCCGAAATCGACGTCGTCTGGCCCTGAATCTCAGTGCCCCTTACATCGTCCGGGGGCACGCACAGGCCATTCTGAAGCTGGCCCAGCACGCCTTCTTCCTTTTCGGCAACAGGCAGGAGTTCGAGGAACTCGCCGGGGCATCCGGCTCCTCGAGTGTGGACCAGTTGGCCCAGAAACTGCTGCAGGACGGCAACACCAGAGTAATCTTCATCACCAAAGGCAGCTCCGGCGTCCAAGTGATCACCAACTATGTGGACGAGCTGGGTCCGCCCGGTCCCATCACCGTTGAGGACTACCGGGCTCCGCGGGTGGATGAGGTGGTGGACGCCACTGGGGCGGGCGATGCCTTCGTCGCCGGCTTCCTTCACGCCTGGCTGGAGAAGCGTTCGCTGGGCGAAAGCATCCGTGTGGCCACCGACGTCGCAGCCAAGGTGGTCACGCAGGTGGGGTGCAATCTGCCGAGTCCCTAGCCGGATCGATTCTCCGGCAGCGCACAATCAAGCACCAAAGTAGACTCTTAGTTTGTACGTTAATTCCTCTTTATGCTCCACAGACTTTAGGCTTAGTTTCTTGCCTCTCCCCCCTAAGCAGTGCCTTAATGAGTTAATAAAAGCTTAATTTTTTGCATCCAACGCGAGATAAGGAAACTTGCACTTGTGATCCATTTATAGAGATGTACGTACCCATGACTTATATCCGTAGAAATGGGATTTGTGGGGAACTGCGCAGATTCGTAATATTTGTAGTGGCAAAAAACTCGCAGGGGGAGCATCAGTGAGCCGCAGTTCGAGATAAAACATTTTATGTACGTCTGTCAGATGGTTGCTCATATCTTATCAGCCAATGAATTACCAGAGAGCTCATTTATCTGAGTTGCAAATAGACGCGTAGATTAGAGACAGCTGATGCGTTGGACTTCTAAATTTATGGAAACGAGAAATTGAGTGTCCCAAATACTTAAGAGAAAGCGTGTTCAGACATTACAAGTCTTTCTGTCTGGTACTGATTATCGATAATAAGTTTACAGATTGCTGCAGTCCCAATGTTTCGAAACGGCATGCAACGCATCCGAAACCTCGTAAGATAAGTGAAAGTTTACAGTCAGAGATCAATATATTCGTAACAGTTCGACCTCAATCGCCTCATTAATACATATAGTGTGATTGCATTACTCATTCGCTCGCTGGAGCTGCCAGCGGTTCCCATGAAGTGAGCCTTTAAGACTTTAAGATTGTTTTCTCATTTCCCCATTGCGTAGCCCGAGAGATGCCCAAGCTAATGTTTTGATTGTATCCAATGTTCGTACATTCTTTTGAGGGTATGTACTTTATTATCCGCAAACAAACGATTCTCATTTTCCTAGGCCGGCTTACTCATGCCACAGCCCACATAAGTCAGTCAGTTCCATTCGTGAGGGAATGACGGCATAGCCATGCCTAACCCGGAGAGAACTCGCATGCCTCGATACCATCAAAGCGTATTCCGCTTTTGTTGCGCACTGTGAGGGTGTGTGCGCCTGGCCCTGGGCTGCTCTGACACACATGTTTGCAAATCGTTAACAAAAACTAAGCCTCCTTAGCCATGCTTCTGTAGTCAGATGTAGTCAGGGCCAAGACCAGCTGATGCAGGAAACCCATTGCAGATCCCAAAACAATAAAGCGAGCAACTCGGCTTTGGCCCAAGCAATTCCACACTTTAAAGGCCAATTCTCGGATCAGCTTAGTGAGCTGCCTAATTGGCAGAAAGCTGCTTAAAATGGCCAAGAAGAACGAGTGGGGATATGGGGGATGTGGCAATGGGAATGTGGCGAAGCCAATATTGACACGCCCACACAATTGAGTGCCGCCTCGTTGGAGTAGGGTGGAGTGGAGTGGGGACAGGAGGAGCTGCTGGGTCTCCTTGCCTGGTTTAAATCACATCCACATGGAACTTGCCGCTGCTGTTAATTACTTGATATTAATTTTATACAAGCAAAGAGGGATCCGGTCCGGTCGGCGTCGCCCCCTCTTGATTGTTTTCTATGCTGTGGCCAGGCACGTCCACTCTCAATGGCAGTCCTTCGTCCTGTCTGGGGCCCGTAATTAATGTCATCGTGTGGTTTATGGGGTTAACAGGCTGGCCACAGTCTGAGCTTTGGCCAGGACTTTTCACTTTGATGTCCTGGAGTGGAGACTTCTGGTCTGGACTAAGATCTGCTCTAAAATGTTATAATTAAATGTGATCATTGGCCTGTTTAGCATTTTAATTTATAATAAATTGTGATTCGGATGTTGATAGAGAACACCGGGCGAAAGTCTTCTCATTATCCAGGGAAGAGCTGTCTCTGAAATATATTCACAGATTTTCTGGCAGTGCAGGCAATGCACAAAAGGCCTTACTGCCCCTTTGATTTATGTGCAACGCTGCGTATGAGCAACCAAATGGGGCAGCTGTAACTGACATTGCATATTTGTCCACCCTCGGACACTCCTCGCGTCTCCCTCACGTCTGACTAGACCACCCCCTTGGGCATGTTTGCACAAAATATTGCGCATACGCCACCCGGGCCGAACCTTCTTTGCCTTTTGGCTTTGTCCCTTTGCCTTTTTGCGGCATAACGCGCGGTTATGTGGCCATAATGTGTGCCTTTATGGGCTTGGCATTGGCATTGGCATTGGCTGTGGCTGTGGATGTGGACGCCTTTCTGGCTGGCCCTTGCGCTGGTCCTGTTCCCATTTTAATTCCTTTGCCATATTTGCTGAGCTAGCATTGTTGCTGAATTATGTTTGGCCAGGGCGCTTGTTGATTTTTATATGGTATCTTTTCTCTGCTACGAGGAAAACCTGGTTGTCTGCTCGGGACGGCCTTCCATGGATGGAACCCCACTTCCTGCTGGACCTTCGGCAGTATGCATGATAAGCGGCCTGGCCAAAATATTTGCCTCTGCTCTGGCATGTTTGCCCAGTTGTTTACGGATAATCCGGTTTTATTGTTTAATAAGTCATCCCAGCTATCGCTTCAGATTCCCGACCAACCTGTCCTGTCCTGTCCAACCTCTCCTCCTCCTCCAATGGTGCCCTGTCTGCCTGGCAGCGTTAGCGGCTCGTTAGCTTTTTGACTGGCTGTGCGACAGAGCATGGAAGACCTTTTTTCTAGGCGGATGAAAGTGAAGGTTTCTGGAGGGGCACGGTAAAATCGATTGCAAAATTAAATGCGTATTTGTATGTATGTAACACAAAAATCAACTTTAATTCAGGCAAAACCTGTTGAAAAGACTTGTGGCAACTTATTAGGGGGTTGACTGCCAACGAATAGATAACATTTAAGAAAGCCGCCATCAAATAAGGTACCAAATTATACAAATGGAATGGTTTTCCATTCGTACAGCCAAAAAAAAAAAACAACTTTGGGGGTTCAGTGAAACTAGAGGCATCGCAATTGGGGAAACTGCTTTCAAGAAGATTATTTTCTGGATTTAAACTGAGATATTTCATAAAGTTGTAGAGAAACGGGTACTAGGGCTCATTCTGAGCAATTTCAAGCCTTGATGAATCCTTAAAGTTTTTCCCAACTGGCTAAGGAATGCCCCTTTCAATGGTAAAATAAATGACTTAGTTATGTATAGAAATGTCACATGCTAATTTTCCGGGGAGGCTTTTCAATCAGCACCGTAAAGCCGTAAGGCCGTAAAGCCAACGCAATTCCACGTCACTTACATCACACTCATCATTAGGCCATTAGTTAAATTATAGACTTCGCAATGACGATTGGCAAATGGTTTCAGTTCCCATTCCTAATCGAGTACCCAATCCCAATGCCTATCCGCAAGCCGCAAATTGCCACCCTTCGAGGGCGTCGATTGACGAGAAGAATAAAAGACATTTGCCCAGCACTTTGCGGCACATTTCGAAGTGGATCTAACAGAGTGGAGGAGCACAAGGAAAAGTGGGAGAAATATAAATGGCAACGACAATCGACGACATTGGTTTGGTGGGGATCAACGTGAGGATTTGGAGATACATGGCCGTGCTGTATCCCACTCCGGGCACCAGTTGGCGGAAGTTTGCCTTTGTACTGCCCGTGTGCGCCATGAATCTGATGCAGTTCTTCTATCTGCTTCGCATGTGGAGCGACCTGCCCGCTTTCCTCCTCAACCTGTTCTTTTTTGCGGCCATTTTCAATTCCTTGATGCGGACGTGGCTGGTCATAATCAAGCGTCGGGAGTTTGAGAAATTTCTAGAGGAGCTGTTCAGGCTCTATCGATGGATACTCGATTCTGGCGACGAATACAGTCGGACCATCCTGCTGGAGGCGGAGCGTGAAGCCCATCGCCTGGCCGTTTTCAATTTGACAGCCTCCTTCCTGGACATTGTTGGGGCCCTGGTCTTCACCCTTTTCAAAGACGAGCGAAGTGAGTGACTGGCCTCAGAAATCCTTACCTTATACGGACTCCTTTTCCCCCATTCAGGTCATCCCTTTGGCGTGGCCCTTCCACTGCTGGACATGACCCGCACGCCCGTCTATGAAATTTTCTACTTGCTGCAGATTCCAACGCCCCTGCTCCTCAGCGTCCTGTACATGCCCTTTGTCAGTGTCTTTGCGGGCTTCGCCCTCTTCGGTAGGGCCATGCTGCGGATTCTGGTGCACAAATTGTCGCTGATTGGTGGCCAGCAGCAGGACGCTGGGGCACGCTATCAAAGGCTGACCGCCTGCATTCGCTTTTACATCGAAGTGCTAGGGTAAGCGTGAACGTGAGCGCTGGGTGCACCTTTCGGTCAGGCTTGAGCGTCTCTCTCTTTCAGTTATGTGCGTAACTTAAACAACTTGGTAAACCTCATTGTGGCCATCGAAGCAATCGTCTTTGGTTCTATCATCTGCTCTCTTCTCTTCTGCCTGAATATAGTAAGAAGTGTGAAAGTGTCCGCTCATCAGTCTGTCTGCCGAACTTTAGATTTATAATCTTATAGCTCGTTATGAGTACGGGTATCCCATAGTCGGAACATCGACTATAGCCCACCATTGTGCTGTCCTTTCAGATTACTTCACCCACCCAAATAGTCTCGATCGTGATGTACATCCTCACCATGCTCTATGTGCTGTACACCTACTACAATCGGGCCAACGACTTGGTCATTGAGGTATGAGCATCTCTTTGGACATTCCTGCTCTGTTCTGACCTGACTAATTTCTGGAATGTTTGTAGAACGCTCTGGTGGCGGATGCCGTCTACAATGTGCCCTGGTATGAGGGTAACATGCGTTTTCGCAAAACTCTCTTGATATTCTTGATGCAAACCCAATGTCCACTGGAGGTGGGTGCCGCCATGCTCGCGTGAATGCGATACATTTCATTTGGGACTCTATGATTCTAATCCGGGCATCCGGTGCGTTGTACGCTCCATTTCATCTTTCAGATAAGAGTTGGCAACGTTTACCCCATGACTTTGGCCATGTTTCAGAGTCTGCTGAATGCGTCCTACTCCTACTTCACCATGCTGCGTGGCGTCACCAATAAATGAGCTGAAAGAGACCAGAGCATTCCTCAACCCCCAATCCCTTGCACAGTGCCAGCAATCTGAGTAATGCAAAAAGTTGTTTCTGTAGTTGTTGCTGGCGGTCCTAGTCCTGACGGTCCCTAGCTTTTTGCCATTTGCATATGCTTCTCGTTTGAAAGGATTTAATCGGACTGTTTGCAATCGTAGTGCTCTGGCATGGAGTCAAAACCCTGGCTCCTGGCTACTGGCTACTGGCTTCTGTGTCCTCGTGTAAAAAGGGAAAATGCTTTGAATTGGCTTCTCAGATTGTTACACAAAATAGATTGTAGATTAAAGCAAAATGTTATCGTTGAAATAAAGTCAAACGAACGTGTAGGGAAGTAGTCAAATCCAACCGAAAGTTTTCGGTTTGTTTTTGCAGCTTAAACGAATTCTGTGGTACAGATATGGAATTAAATTGTACATCAAATACGAGTGAGCTTGATTGGCAAACATCAGAGTGGAAATTCACTCTAATAACAGAGACTGCTGGTTAAATTACTCGGAATTCTGGTGCTTCTAAAATTGAATTTGCTTGTGTATTTTCAATCCCATGCCACAGAAATGGGTATAGCATTCCCATTTAATCGAAAGAGTCGTTATCTGTATATTTTTCATTGATTTCGTGTATTCTAATGGCAATTATAAACACACATTGATGCTGCATTACGAATGACATTTACATAATTACTTTTCAATTATTTCGGCTATAATTTTGGTCTGATCTCCCGACTTATTTGTGTGTATAAACCCTTGCATACTTTGGGGCTGCCGAATCGAATTTTTGTATTCATTTGCATATTGGAGTTCGGCAGAGCTCCTTTGCGCTTTTAATTAAAATGCCCAAAAACCTAGTCGTTGTCTGCTGCAATTTAATTAACATTAGTCATGTCCTTTATTATGCAAATAAACGGCTTTTGGCTGAACAGCAGAAACAGCAGCAGCAAGGCCAGCAGCAGTTGGAGCAGCAGCAGTTGGATCGTTTAATGCCAGCCGAACAGCAATAACAACTTAATTTAAAATTCATTATAACTGACACCAACTAGTTAAACAATTGCCAGAGGCATGCAGCAGAGCAGACTGCTCCACAACAAAGGAAAACAACTAAAACGGTGGGAAAACAGGAGGCAAACAACAGCGAAGGGCGCGCTTGGGAAATTGAAATGAGCGGCGGAATACGCAAATAAACTTCAAAGCGCCGAGGAAAGCTGAAGGACCCCCGGACAGCGCGCTGTGCCGCTGCTCGGTGTCCTGGCGAGCGCATAAATAACAATACTGCAGGACCCGCAACAACAGTTCCTCCTATCGTTTGGCTCGAGTGGCGTATACTTAATTTTATTATGAGGTGTCAAGTGGGGACCAGTTGACTTGCCACCGCCGAGCGAACGAACGCCTTTTGTGCTGTACTGTGTGTAGCTCTGTTGTTATTTATGTTGCCTGCTGTTGCCCGCCATTTGGTGGCAGGTGAACGCCTACGCGATACGCCTTCCGCAATGTTCTGGGAGAAATGTGAACTTCCTTTAGGCTTTCGCTTTTTCGCCGCATAGTTCCTGCGCTGCTCCTCGGTGGATCCTTTGATTTTTATGCAGGGAATATGCAAATGCCTACGGAAATGTAAATGTGGCAGACAGTGGCCGTATCCTGTGTCCTGTGTGTCTCCATTGTTGTGCTTGCTGCATAAAATTAACAAGTTTTGCCCTGGCTTTTGCCTCGGTAAAAAATGGTTTCATTAGAGAACTGTTCATGGTCGTTACTGCTGTTGGTAGTCCCTGCCACGCCTCCCGCCTCCCTCGACACTCGCCTCAGAGGTGACGTTGTTTTATAATTGAATTCATATGCATCAATGGAGGCAGCTTCGCAAAAACACAACACGCAGACACCAAGGCCAGAAGGCCGGAAGGGCGCAAGGGAGTGACGAGAGGAGCAGCCACAACATGGCAAACAGGACGGCAGCAGGACGTGGACAGGGACACACAATTTTTGGTGGCATTTTCAATTTTAAATGGATTTTCAATTGCGGTTGGAGCCGTTTGCATAAATTGCTATAATGAGTTTATTTCGAAGCCCTCTACTCAGCCAAGTGGCTTCGTTGGCGTCTCTTCATGAACAACATGTCCATGTCCTGGGCACTGTGCACTGTGCACTGTGTACTGTATACCGTGTCCTGCGTCCTGTGCTCATTTGCAATTGTCAACTGGCTGTCAGAAGTGACAGTTGTATTGACAGTTTGCTTTTGCTGTTAATTTTCGTTTTAATTGTGGCATTTGCTGTGGCGCTGAACTTTGTTGGGTGTTTGCGGTTGGCAGAGTGGAATTTCATTTGAATGCGAATTTGATGCGGGTTAAGCGTTTGGGTTGATGTGACGCTTAACACACACTTAGATCAGGGCTTAAATTCAACTTTAAGTGCCGGAAGTTGCCACTCCATCAATTTGGCTGCGGCTCTATCTAAAATGTTCAGGCTTCCCCCTTTGAAATGCCATTGAATATTCCATCCATTGTCTGTTGGGTCATTTGCAAAATCTCTCATAAGCAAAGCATTCATTTTCCAATTATTTATTGATGACTCTGTGTGGGAGTCCCTCTCTCTCTGCCCTGCCCCAATGCACTGCAGACTCCACCAGTCACCTGCAATAAATCGCCAGCCTTTGGTCCCGGCCCTCTTCGGCCCCATCTGCATGGAGTTGAACAACTCAGGAGTCTGCCTCCTGCAGGATGTTTGTCTGGCTCTGGCACCGGCTCCGGCTCCCGCTTGGGTGTTGTTGTCTGGGTTTTGCCTGGAAAATATTTGCATTTTCACTTTTGATTTATTAGTGCCATTGCCATGTGTAAATTGCCAAAGCAAAGGTGCAAACAACAAGGCATCTTCCAGGCAGGACAGAGCAGGAGGCAGAGCCGGAGACGAAGCCTGGGCCAGGACAGAAGCCAGAAACAGAGCAGTCAGCGTTGACAAGGACACATTATGTTTGGCCAAATGAATGGTAATTGCGGCATTGAAACAAGTAATTGAAGTGCAACTCAAATGGTTGCCCAAGAGCCTGCCACTGTGCTCCTCCGTGACCACAGTTTCGATTAGTTTCTGAGGCTGGGAGGAAGCGCGATGGAGGTCATTACAGTTTTGCTAATTACAAGACCAAATTACAGAGAGATGTTCTCGGTTCTCGGTTCTCGGTTCTCCTCCAGTGCCCCATTCCTCTCCATGGTATGATGGCCTCTTATGCCGTTGCCGATTACTTCCGCTTCTATGCAATTTCCGGTTGCCCAGGTTTCAGTTGGAGCTGGAGCTGGAGCTGGAGCTGGAGCAAGAGCTGCAGCTGGAGATGGAGTTGGACCTGGAGCCGACTGTTGCCTAAGCAGCTTTCCTGGAAAATGTCAAAACAGCGGACAACTTTATATGCCGGAATAAGGCAGGCGGCAGAGGCACAATAATGACAGGCACAAAAGACAGAAAAGAGCCGGCGAAAGAGCAGAAGCATAAGCAGATAATTACACAACAGAGAGTCCCTTTCTCTACCTCTATCTCTTCCTTACCACTACCTTACCACCACTCTCTGTCTCCCTCTCTCTCGCTCTGTGTTGCAGCCACAAAGTAGAAAATTACAAAAATAAAAAACCACAAGCGGAAAATTAAGAGCAAAAGCCTGCGGTCTCTAAAAAGATGCCAAGAAGGCAAGACAGAGGGAAAATGCCATTTGTTGTGGGTATTAATTTGCCCCAAACTTTAAGTTGAACATCCACCCAAGTGGAGCCTCTGGCAGGCAGGCCTAGAACTTGATCAAGATTTTGATTATCGGATGGAAATGCGAAATTCCTGTTAACCGAAATTCCAAACACAACGAAGTCTGTAGTAAGAGCCGAACTGTGGAGACATTTTCCACATTTCTGACTGTCTGCCGGGGTCTGTCCGTAAGCGAATGGCAAACACCGAATTCTGTGCTCCGTTGCAACCCCATCAGCTCCAACCCCAACTCCAACTTCAGTGTCTGCCCCGCAGCCACATTTAAATATGCCGCCAAGTTGTACCTTCGCTTCGACGCTCACGGATCCCTGCTCCATCTCCTCGTTATCCTCATCATCTCCTGGCGGTGGCTGGCACTGATTTCATGCTTTATAACTCCCGATATCCGAATGGCAAACAACGTTTAGCGCTTTAGCGTAGTGCCAGTGCCACCTGCCAAAAAGGAACGGAGCAGCACACCAGACAGGGCATTGTAGGGGTGCGACTGGCAGCAAGTGTTGCTTTGCCGCCTGCGGGGTCCGCGCGGCGTATGCGCAATGTTTGCTTTACATTTTTCTCCTCTTCTTTTTTTGGCGTTGAGTGGTTGTTTTTTCTTGGGCTTACCTCTCGGGGGGTGGGGGGACAGCTCATGGCATATGCATGATACATCAAATATTTAAGCGATATTTCAGCTATTCCGACAATGAGTCAAATCCAAGAGAATGTCTGTGGACTCCGTCTGCTGCGGATGATGCTGCCTGCCAGCCTGCCTGCCAGCCTGCCTGCCTGCTGCCTGCGATAATAAAGTTTACAGATAAACGATTCTGCAATCAAATTATGCCACCCCTCCCGGGACAGAGTCAAGTTTTGATTTTGAATTCAAACCGTAGGGGAGATGCAAATAACATTTGATTTATATTTTCTCTTGAAATTTACGTGTTATTTATGATTTAGATTGTCTTCAAACGAAGACCAGCTGCAGCTTGTCGTGCCAGTGAATTTAAAGTTGGCCAGAAAGAGCTTGGCTAGCTCAGAGACCACATGATATTGTTATTCTTGTCGTAATTAAAAACCCATGAAAGCAACGACAACGGCAACGACGACGACCAAACAACTGGCCACAATCGCATGAGCAGACGCAGACCCAGACAGACAGCTCGATGGAGTGCGGAGTCCGTCATGTGTGTCTGTGTGTGTGTGTGTGTGTTTGTGTCTGGTAAAATAAACATGAAGCGTATTGATGGCACGGCTGTGGGTGGCTGGCTGCACCTCTTCCCGGACGAATGCCAGCAAAAAGTTCCATATCAATTTTAAGCCAAAGTAATGAAAAAGTAACAGCAACAGCAACACAGCGGCAAAGAGAAAAGCAAGACGAGCAGAAAAAGAATTAAAACGAAAGCTATAGACAAAGCATATTTGCACGCAGCGGGAAGGACTCGACTGCCCCATTCTGGCTCCTTGGGAAATGTGTCTGCCGACCCGCTCCCCGATGATGATGATATCGTTGGGAACGCTAACGCTTTATGACAACCCAATGGGCCACTAGAAAGAACGAAGCGTGTAGCACATTTCTTGGTTTTGTTGCTGCAGTAGGTTGCTCTGGCTCCTGTCCTAAGGATATGCTGTTTACATTTGCCGGCGAAGGACAAGCGGCGGACCATGTCTGAAGCAACGAAATTAAAAACCAATAAAAAGCGCTGCACACGAAATTAAAAATTATGTTTTCCCTTCTCCCTCTCTCTGACAATAACAGAAACGGAAGCGGAAAACAACATTCCATTCCGGTAAAGAAAAAGTTGTAAAAAACACGAATAAAATTTCCGGGCTGGGGCTGGGCTTTAAAAAATGCCTCACATAAAACTTTTACAATTAAGCAAAACGATGCAAAGTTGGCCAGACCAGGGCCAGAGCCTATGCACCACTTCGATAATTGAATATTTTAGCCAGACGAGTCTTAAGGCCGCGGGGAGGGGGCGGGAATGAAATGCCAGCAAAGCGGAAGTGGGAGGATGGGCCAGAAAAACTGTAGCATATATTTGGGCGTCGATGGAGAGCAGCAGCAGTCCCAGGAATTAATTGCTGCACAGTGTTTCGGCATAGATCGTTGAAACTTTCACGGCGAGTCATTTATTTAATTTACTACCTTACAGCAAAATCGGTCCTTCCCCTATCCCTTCCCCACCCCCAGCCAAGGCCAACTGCATGGCTATGAATAATTTAAGCAAATCGCAGGCTGTTGGCTGTTGGACTGTCCCCAGTGCCAGTCGTACTCCTATATCAAATAGTATCCAAGCTATACTCGGCTCTGTTCTGTTTTGTTTTGTCTGCGTGAACGTGTCGCTTGGCCGGATTAGGCGGCATTTGCATATTTTAATTATTTAGATGGCTCTGCGGAGCGGAGCTACTTAGGCCACCGAAGCAGTGAATCGGAAGCGGGAGACCCGACTTAATTAAGAGTCTCCATCCTCCTTGGAGCTTCCCAAAAAAACGCCAAGAACATATGTTTTTTGTTTCAGGGGCAAGAAAGTAGTGTTCTCCCGCAGAAATTCGCATTAAAGCTAGCCCCAGGACCGAGCGGATAAACGTATTTCAGAGCCAAATCCAGAGTTTGGCCAATAAACACATTACAAGCACCGCCGATCATAAATTCATAATGAAATATGAAGCCAAGCCCAGCCAGCACTAGCCCCAGCCCCAGCCCCAGACCGAAATATATACAGATACAAGGAAGATACGGATGAAGAAGCCACCCGGCGAGTAAAAGGGAAAAATATAACTATAATAAATACGCAACAGTGTAGTACACAGACGAAAGTCAGTCGGAGAGCAGAGTCAGAGTCAGGGCCTGGTTTTGGCCAGCAGCTCTCAGGGCAGCTGGGCGCAAGAGGAGCTGCGAACCGTCTGTGGCATTAGTTTTATGATTATTTGTGGCATTTATTGTGTGGACAGTGGCTACAACTGACCAAAGCAACTACCCCCGCAACCACCCACTCCCCCCATATGGGGCTATCTGGGTCCAGTCCATGGGCAGTGCAGCTTTAATTAGATTTGCACATTACACAGAGACCAACGCACCAACGGCTAATGATTCTGGTCCGATATTGGTATGCCTCACACGAAGTTGTACAGTGGTTAGAAAGCGTCCGCAATAATGTCCTTGAGAGTCGCATCTTTGCCCTCCATTTGCCATTGTGTTTGGCACACTGTGGACCCACAGTGTCTTCCGGCTGCCTCTTTAGGGCTGGTGAGGCAGGGTCTGACTTGTTGGACTCGTCTAATGCACAGAGTATGATGCGATAAATACCAGACGGTAACAGTTGCCTTGAGAGCAGGCCACTGGCCCAGACACGGCCGGAGCTTCCCCCCCATCAATAATGCTTAATTTAATTCGACACTCTCTGACTTTCGCTATCTCTTTAAGCCCGAGGTCCTTCCAGGGGAGGGTCTGGGTGGGGACTGGCGCATGATTATTATTAGTTATGATGATGTATCCCCCCTAATGGCTGCATGAACGTGTGTGGGCTGTGCGAGTGTTCGACTCTGGCGAATATTAATAATTGTTTCTTTTTTTCCGGCCTGTTTTTCGAGGCCCCGTCCGTCGCCGCCGCTACGTCTGCGAAACACGCTAAAAATTAATTAAACGTCCCAGGCGAAGGGTGTAAATACATACATACACTTTTTTTTCTGCTCTTCTGCTCTGTTTTTACTCGGCCATTTCGTGGTTATTTATGCGCTTTGCCCGACCAAGCCCCTGGCACGGGCATGGTCTGGCCCTGTCCGGTCCGGACCGGTTCGGATCCGGGCCTACACTTGATTCATTGTTTTTCCGTACGTGGGTATATGGGCAGCACGCACTCATATTGCCAATTTATATTTGTATTAATTAATGGGCCAGTAAACAATTGCTGAAAGCTGCGCCATTAGCCCCAGTCCCGTGGACCCATCGGTGGAGGGGGTGATGCGATGTGAGGCGGATGGACGGGGCTAAAAATGCGGGAAATGGCTGCAATAATAAGCTAGCCAGTGGGCCACATAAATTATACAGGTTTTCCTCCTCTTTTCATTCATTTCATTCTGCTGGAGTTAATAACATTTCGGTTATGAAATTCTGCAAAATTGACCTCAGTTCAGTTATTTGTGCAGCATATTTTTTCCTCGGCTTCTGGTCAGACATAATAAATTCTGCTGTCAATTTTCGTGCATTTTTAACTAATCGAAAATGGGAAAAGGAGAATTTTGCGGTTCACTGGATTTAAAATGATTAAATAAATAGTTTTTTTCCCCTATTTCAGATGCCCAAAAGTATGCTGCACAGTTTTTCAACCAGACAAATTTAACAATCAAAAGCGGCATATATATGTATGTACATTTATATGGATTTCCGCAGCCTCTTGTGTTTTCTGCTGCTTCCGACTGCCAACTTTAATATCTGGCCGTTTTCCCACATCATTGCAATGGCTTTTAGCAGTAAAAGCAGGGGAAAGCGCATTGAAAACGCATAAAACAATCGCCTGGAAAAGCGCAGCCAGAAATGCCAGCAGCAGATTGTCGCAGGTCACAATAAAAGTGCGCCATCCTCGACTCCTGTTTATTTGTCCAGCCAGAAGGCAGCCACCTCACCCCACCCCACCCACTCCCAGCGCAAGGACCGTGGCCGCAAATAAGTACTGTGGCAGCTGCACATTACAATTTGTTCTCGGGGTGCCCTCTCTCTCTCTCTTTGCCCTGTGTGTGGTTTCGGACTCGGACTTTTCGGTCATGATAAAAATGAGCGTCGGAAATGCGAATATAAATTCTGCCATATCTGATGTACAAGTGTACGATTGTCTGTGTGTAAGTGGGTGTGTGTGTGTGAGTGTGTGTGGCAGGATAAACGTAGTGGCTGTACTGCATTGCCGTTGCCAGGATGCCAGCCAGACTACGGGAGCATACCAATCATCGGAAGTGTGCCGCAGGACTGGGGCAGGACCGGCAACGGCAACGGCAACGGAAATGACATGCAATAAAGCACAAAGGCGCACACGCATCGAGTGAAAGCAGTGAAAGCTCTCCTCCCCATTGTCTGCTGCCCGTCGCTGGATGATAACGAAAAATGGCATCTAACAACAAAAATCTATCTGGCAAATGCATTTGCGCCCCATCCCCAGCAGCCGGGGAGAAACTTTACGAAATTACAATTGCAAAAGTTGCGTATGCCCGGAGATGGCAGAGTCCTTGCCCTCGGCTGCTGTCCAGCATCCAGATGGCAGTGGGAGTTGGGGGGGAACTGAGTGGCACCCTTGCTTCTACCCCATGCCCTCATTCTAAGGGGCTTTGTGTGTCTGTGTGCGTTAACGCCAAAGTCATTTGGCTTATCAATGCCAGACGCAGACAATTTCGGTCGCTTATCGCTTGGTCGCATCGCATCGCTCCGACCCGATCCATGCAGGTGGCATGCGGCATGCAGGAGGAGTGAGAGCATTATTAAGTGGCCATTAGCCGGACCTGGCGACATAGTTGGGAGCATTACCACAAATTACACAGCTGCCAATGATTTTGTTGACTCCCCGCCGAAGCGGCAGCAAACATTGCTCAACCGATGCTCGATGGTCGATGGTCGATGGTCGAGGCGCGACTATGTTGATTCTAACCAGCAAACCAGGCATCGGACAACAGGCCAGCAGCGGGAGGAGGAGTTGACTCGACATTCCTCTCCAGTCCCCATCCCTGCTTGCTAATTACGCCCTGCAGCAAGCGTTGCATGCATGTGATTGCCCGTACCTCAATGGTCTCCAAGCAGGGTCTTGCAACGTTGCAACGTTGTTGTCGTCGTCGCTGCTGCCACAGTCCCTATGCCATCCCTGAGTTGCAGCTCCCATATCCGAGTCGGAGTCTGCCATAATTTGCCATCAACTTATTAGCAGGCAGAACTCTCTGGCTGTCAGTTGCAAGAGTACGAGTAGTTTCGATTTTAATTTTCGTGTTGCTGCTGCCTCTGGTGGTGGTGCGGCATGCAAATGCAAATGCCCGACATGCATAATTTGTATTCATTATCCGATGCATAATTACAGATGCGAGTAGCGGGTCCCTTGTAGTTGCAGCTCCAAGATCAGGCCTGAGTCGACTGACCCTCGGAAAATTCCATTTCCTAAGTTATAGAATAGTCTGTGTTTGTGTACCTTCTTTGAACTCTTTATTCAAGAGAATGCAATACAATTTATTGGCTTAAAGTAGAATTATTTTAATACATTTATCATTAGCCCAATCGTGTAGCATCGGCTCCGAAGATGCCACATCGCATTTAGTAAATATACGCGTACTATATGTAGTGGATGCAATAAATACAATTAATTATATATCTCTCTTACTTTCTGGATGTACATATGTATAAATAGGCTTATCTCCAAAATATGCATAAAATATATAAAAATAGTTTTCAAGATGATCTTAATCTTTTCGCTTATCTAGGGATGTGTATTTGGAACAGTGTTGAGCCCACTTGGCTGGCTCTTATTGTATGGTTTCGTCCTCTAATAGAGTTGCATATGTTTCTCTGTGTGCCTTAATGTCAAGTTGAACTTTGCTTTGCTTTCTTGAGTTCTTGCCTCCGTTCCGTTCCATTCCGTTCTGGTCTGGTCTGGTCTGGACAATTGATGATCCCTCGCAGGGTCTGTGGCTACTTCGTTAGCGTCGGCATTCAGCTCGAATCGGAGTGGAGTGCCCAGGGCGCCTCATTAATAACCTCCTTGCCACGCTTCGCCTGCTCTCTGTTGCGCCTGCGCCTTCGCCTTCACCTCCACCTGGACCTAGTCCTCGGCAATCAGCTCTAATTAAAATGGCCTCGGGTTCGGCAGCATCACGAGATGATGCAGTTCTTGTCCTTGTCGCCGGCCATCTCGGCGGGCTTCCTCTTCCGATCGTATGCCAGCGCATCGTTGGGCACGTAGCTGACACGCACCCCGCCATAGTGCCGCCGTTGCGGCAGCTGGTACATCATCATGTAGTCCTCGGAGCTGGAGGAGCTTGAGGAGCACGTGGAGCATACGTCCGACTCCTCTGCCGACTCCTCGCGCTCCCGTTCTCTCTGCTGGCGCGGCGACTTGTGGGCGGTTTCGCTGTCCGCCTGCAGGACGGAGGGTGGGCCCTGGTAGGAGGAGGACAACGGCTGGGCGGGGGCATAGGTGTCTGCTCGGGTGGTGGAGTGCGACCTGTGGCCGCTGCCACTGCGATGGTGGTTTCCGGACGAGGTGGAGGAGGTGGACTTGCGGCGACGTCTACGCCTCGAGGAATGTCCAGGCCCATGGCGACCACTCTCTCTATCCTTATCCCCCCCCTTGTCTCTGTCTCTGTCCCTCTCCCGATCCCGATCGCGATCCTTGTCGCCTCCCCCGCTCGTGCCAGCTCCATTGCCGGAGTAGCTGCGGGAGCGGGGTAATGTGTCCGGTATTCCCTCGAAGCGGACGCCCTTCTTCTTGGCCGGCTCTCCGCTCATGGGGGAGGAGGAGGCCCCGCTCAGGATGGACACGGGGTGCGTGGGGCCGTGCGTGGCCGAGTGCGCCGACAGGGGCGTGTTTAGGGAGCGATCACCGGCGGAGTGTGTGGGCGAGCCCATAAGCTCTGGGGGCAGGGCCGTAGAGGCGACGCTCAGGTTGGGCGTCGGAAGCTCAGGCACCTCTCCTACGGCACCCCTTTCGGGGGGCGGGGGCGGTGGGTGCATGATGTCCGCGTACTCGTGCTGGAACTGCTGGGCGGAGGAATGAAGCGCCGGCTGCTGACCAAAGTGGGCCGCCATCTGGTGCTGCAGCATTGGACCCTTCCCCGCCAGCTCTGGCATGCTGGAGGTGTGCTGGTTCTCCATCAGCTGCCGCTGCAGCTGGTAGCTGTGGGTGGCTCCCAGCGGGGGCTTAGCCGGCCAGGCTGTGTCCAGATTCGAGGACATCTCGTTGAAGTTGTAGACGCCATCGCGCTGCAGCTCCATGGGCTTCGGCATCAGGTGCGGCTGGAAGTCTCCGGGAGAATTCATGGGCGACATGTTATGCGAGGTGCTGGAGGTTCGCCCGCCGGAGAAGTCGGTGAAGTCCCCGCCGCCCGCATGGTCGCCGCTCCTGCAGTGCTCCAGATCCTTGACCACACCCGCGTCCGAGTCGGACGTGGCGTAGCTCTGGCTCTGGCTCTGCTTGGCCTGTTCCAGCAATGACAGTTCCCCGCCCAGTCCCATCAGACTGCCGCCGACCACTGGTCCTCCGGCCGCCTCCAGCTGTTGAGTCTGGAGCTGGTACATGGCCTGGTTAAAGCTCGCCTGGTGCTGCTGCTGCTGCTGCGGCGACATGGGCGGCGAGCTGGAGGCGTGGCTGCTGGTGATGCGCGTCTGGGGACGCACCCGTTGCGTGGGCGGGGTGGGGGTGGTGTACATGCCGGTGCCAGAGCTGTCGGACGGCGTCGGTGGTTCCCCCTTGCTGCAGGCGATGGAGCAGTAGATGGCCCCACGGCGGGGCAGGAAGGCGCGTCCGAGCAGCGAGCAGCGGCACGTGTTGCACGAGAAGCACTCGTCGGTGGCATGCCAGTGCTGGCCGTCGTGGCTCATCTGCCCCTGATCGACGCCAATGGCCTCCCCGCAGTAGTCGCAGTACTCCGCGAACATCGCGTCGAAGCAGTGGAGGCAGTAGGGCTTGCCCTCCCGCATGATGTACCGCTGACCGCCGAGCTGCTTGTCGCACTCGTGGCAGGCGAAGTGGTTCATGTGCCAGGCCCGTCCTTCGGCCTCCGTGCACTCGTCGGCCAGGATGATCTAGGACGATAAAGACAGGGTTCTCGTAATCCTCCCGCAATGAGAGTAGAATCAGGATCAGGGCTTACCTCATCGCAGGCCGAGCAGCGGGGCTTGAGGGTCTCCGCGTGGTGGCGCCCGCAATACATGCGTCCATCGCGGTGGAAGTAGATGAGGTCCACCAGCAGTTCGCGGCAGATGCAGCACGTGAAACAGGCCGGATGCCAGCTGGCATTGGGACCGAGGCGCGTCGCGAACACGGCAATGTCCCCCGTGGAGATTAGTTCGTCGCACTGCAAATAGTTTGGGTCTGGGATCAGAGCTGGACTTCGGAGGATGTGAATGTGGATGGGGAATGTGGGGCAGGTATATGTACTTACGCCGTCGCATGGCCGGGCACTCATCAGCTGTCGGACGTTGCCGCGTCCGAGGGCATCGCGCTTGCGCTGCGTGGAGAAGAGGCGCAGCTCCTTGCGCTCCTCATCCGTCAGTGAGTGACAGTAACGAACCTGCAATGACAGAAAGTAACTGAAAACCGTTCGGGAAGCCTCTCTCCCCCTTTTCTTTTGACTGTTCGTTGGACAGGGAAATCATATGTTCAAGTAGACTCTCAACATCTTTAAGAATCCGTGGGCAGAAGGCAGAAGGCCGCTAGCAGCCAGCAGCCAGCAGCCTCAAGTGATCTTTCCAAGAAGCGCATACATGGAACAGGCGGAGATTGTTTGTCTCGACTGAAGGCTGCGAGCCTTTGACTATCCAACATCAGCAGTCAGTGGGGTGGCCAGTGGCCAGTGGCCAGACATACCCAGACCCCACCAATCCACAATCCACAAACCCACAAAGCCCAAAGCAAACCGCAAAAGGCAAAACGGTAGCCGGTAGCCAAGGCTGCCCATCAACGCTTCTCCTCCATCTCTTACATCTCCTCCATCGGAATCTGCTGCCCCATCTGCTGCCCCATCTGGAGCCACTGCGGTCAGCCTCCCATCCCATCCCATCGCATCCCGTCTCGTCTCGTTTGTGTGTTGTATGCAAATTTTTTTCGGCTGCCTCCACTTATTTTTTCGGGCACCCAGTTTGGCCTTCAATGAGTGTTCTAGCCATCGTTAGCAGTGTTGGCAGTGGCAGTGGACCGTCCCACCAGCCCACGTTACTGATATCTGGGAATCCGCTCAGGCCTTTTTGTTTGGATAGTTTTTTGTGGTTTTTGCGTCTGCTCTAAATACCGAGAGCCAACTCTTCAGTTGGGTCCCAGGCACCGGCACGGGCACAGGCACAGGCACAGGCACTGGCTGCACTTGTTTTCCCGATTAATTAAAGGTTACACAGTGCCAAGGGAGTGGGGTGGCATGGTGTGTGTGTGTGTGTGTATGTGTATGTGCGAGTGGGAAAAATCACCAGACAATTTGACTTTGAAATGTCATAGCCCGTAATTCGAGTCGGTTTCAATCACGATAAAGCGGCCGCCATGCGATGCTCTCGAGCATTTGGATAAATGCCACGAAATTGACAGGTCCAGCGAGTCCCTGGAGCATGGGGCAGGTAGTTCGAGTCCCCCCAACTTCGTTCTTGTGTACTCACCTCGTTATCATGCGGCGGAAGTTGATGCAGCAATTGTCGCACACGATACTGCTCCCCCGGACTGTTAACGTATGGCACTTTGTCGTCGGGTATTTGCGAGAAATATAAGCGGACCTGCGGGAGAAAAAAAGCCACATTGAAATACATTGAGGAATGCTTAAATACAGTTAACCGAGGAGGCAGTGGTGGGGAGAGGAGATTCTGCAAAGGGTTAAGAGCCTAGCCTGGGAGATCGCTCGGCGTACTCGTCGCACTCCGCGGCTGCCACAGCCACAGCCACGGCACAGCGGGTAAAGATTTTTGATTTTATTACGTTGATTTCCCTCTCTCTGGCTTCATTCTGGTTTCCTCCCTCCTCCTTTTTCTTTCGTTTTTCCCCATTTGAGCCAGGTTGAAAGGTGCACAACGTGCTAAGCCAACTTTATTGGCCACGCTTGCAGCAGGCTGCAGAACGTTCTCCGTTCGCCGGTCGGAGTCGGAGGACAGAGGCTGGAGGACGGAGGCTGGAGGGATAGGGAGATGCCAACTCTCGCAGCGAGTGACTGACACATGGCTTATGCCGCATCAACGTAAATTGCTGCCACATGGCTGTAAATAAATTTTCAATTCTGTTTGTAAAGTCACAGAAAAAGGCTAGCGAACCGAACCGACCCGAACCGAAAGAAAGAAAAAAGAAATGCAATGCTAGACATTTGATAGGCCCAATGGGATGGAATGGGATGGGAGGGGAGGGGAGGGGAGGGGATGGGATGGGACGACGGCTTTAACGGAAGCCAAAAAGTTCAGTGGAAAATGGCGAAAATATACACGAAAAAAAGATTTGGGAGTGGATGCAAATGGGGGATGGTGCAGGATGGGGGCGACCAAGCTGGGGGCCTCTGCTGGCGAAGATTGTGGAAGATTTATTTGGCATTGTCGCATATTTCACGCGAATAATTTACGAGTTCGTTTCGCTTTTTCGGTCGCCTGGCAAATAATTGAAAAAGGCACGATGGCCAGCAAAGAGTTCTGCCGCAATTGAATTGGCCATTAAAGTCAAATTCGCATTGAAGAATGGCCATGGCCCCAGTGCCAGCCTCAGTCCCGGCTTTCATTAGCGCAATCTAATTCGATAGATACTCGCAGATAGACGGACACAGTGGACCTTCGCCTAATTGACACAGTCCAATAAGCCGGTCCCAGTCACCAGTCACCAGTCTGCAGTCAGTGCCAGTGCCGCCGGCCGGCCAGCCACCTCTGGGCTCTGGGCTATGCGCTCTCTAAGTCGAGGAATACGACTATCATCTGCGAAGGCGAAGGCGATCCCAGCTATGGCTCGCTGATTTATGGCCTCGTCGCGTGTATTTATTTACAGCTCGCTCCGAGTGACAAAATAACGCACAATAACTCAAGTATTTCGCTTATCGCCAGCCCACAAATCTCGCCCTTGGCGTTGCATGCCGCACATTCAGGCGAAGGCATCCATTGGATTGGAATAGGGCTTGAGGGCCAAATTAAAGGAATTCAAGTGCAGGGCCCTCAAGTCGAGGCAATAGTGCTATAACATTGCACATTACGTGAATTTTGGAGCTCTACAGTTCTAAAATGTCTCACTAAAATGGACACTCACCTGATCGGGTCGCAGTCCAGGTGGCACCCATGTGTACTCCTCCAGAGCACATCCGCTGTCGTCGTCAGAATGCGACTGCCGCTGCATGTCCATGTGGGGGCCGGCCAGGAAGGGAGCGTGTGCCGAGGCGGACGTTCCCGCGGCGGGATGATGGAGCAGCGATGGCGGCGACGGGGTGGACAGCGCTGGCGACAGCTGGTGGTGGTGCGGAGGAAGCTGGGCGTTCGAGTACTTGGCGGTCGAGGAGCAGCCCGAAACAGCGGGCGAATACTGCGGGAGACCAGCTCCTCCCGGTCCGAGAGCGAGTCCGTGGCCTTGGCCTTGGCCTGGTCCTGCGCCCAGCGGCGGCAACTGCTGATGATGGGGTGGCAAGTACTGCTGGTGGCGTTGCAGGGGCAGTGGGGAGGTGGGCAGCATGCCCGCATTCTGGGCAGCATACAGAGCGCTGGCCGAGGAGCTGCTGGGCAGACCCAAGGCGGATCCACAGCCAGCCAAGGCCGGCGGCGGGGGCAGGCCCTGGGGGCATCCGCTGGGCGAGAAGTGGCGCGGCAGGGTGGGAATCTTCTGCAGATAGGAGATCTGCGTTAGCGGCGTCCGGCTGATGGGCCTGCGGAAGAGGTGGAACAACTTTAGAGTCGAGCCTTGACTAATTCAAATTTAATAAAAATCCCAATTAAAGTGTTTCCTGCATGGATGGGGCTTAGACATGGCGGGTTGGAGGTTAATCTCTCGCCGCAGAGATCTCGGATCGTATCAAATTGTTAATGTAATATAAAACCGCAGGGCAATCATTTTCGCATTGTATTCCCTTTGTAAGTCGCCGGATTTATGCGGTTTTTCACTTCCTATTTCTGCTCGCCGCCGCTCTGAACAAGCTGTCAATTTTAGTTTGTTTTTCATGAGTTTTTTACTCATATATGGTTTTTGTTTCTGGTTTTTTTTTTCTGTTTTGCTTCAGAGAGGAAAGGGAATTGTTTTTGCAAACGTCAAATGAAAAATATACGCTTCATGGCACTTACACAAACAAATCGACAGCCAGCTTCGCGTTGCTGACGTTGTTGCTGTTTGTCTGGCGCTGTTCCCCGGCCCCAAAGTCCAAGCCCCAAGCCCAAGCCCATGCCCGAGCCCATGCCCGAGCCCGCAGGGCTGTCGCCGTTGTCATTCATGTTAAAGCCTGACATTGTTATCGCATCAGCTCGTCCTGGATGCCCTGCAATCCATTCGCTGCGGCGTCAGCGGCTGGAGCTTTCAGCGCGGCATTGGTTTTGCTGAGCTTTTGTAATGGCTAGTGATCATCAGACTAATGGCTGGGTGTGGGTTAAAGCTTGGAGAAAAAGTACTTTGAGCTTTAAGAACACTCCCTAAATCAGAAACTGCCGTTTTGTAGAGCATTAAGCATGGCTCTCCAACATCGGGGAAATGAACACGCACCATTTCATGCCAGTTTGCTATATCAAAGGATAACTGTGCATTGTCTGTGCAGGCACATTCGTGTAGAACTTTGACTAGGGAAGGGGATTGAGTGGGCTGGGACAAGGATGGGGGCGTCGACTGTACCCCGAACTGGGGAAATGTGGAGTTCATGCGGGCGTTTTATCAAAACAATGCTGTCCGCCCTTTTGTTGTTTTAACCAACCAGTGAATTCTTTGTTTCATTCTCTCTCCCTACATTCAACATTCAACATTCAACATTTTCCAATTCCATTTCTAGTCGAGCAGCCATAGGGAGTTGCTAGGGATTGAGGGGGGGAGGGATGTTGGAGCTGGATCCACTGATGTGTCAATATCTGGATGCGAGTGCGAATAAATGGTGTGGAGCGGTTGCTGCGGTTTGCCAGCAAATTAATTGCGCAGATTTTGACTCTCAATGGATGCCATAGCCAACAAAAATCGTTTGACATTTGAATTTTTAAGTAGAAAATGCTGTACCCTCGACGCAAAAGAATGCTTTTGGCGAGGCGTGGGACTGAGTCTGAGGACTGTAATTGTGAGGGGACTGTGAGGGGGAAACGGGAATGGAAATGCGAATCAAAAGTCGCTGGACATGCACGTGCAGCGTCCCAGCTGGATACGGCGGGCACCAAAGTGTTGGCCGCTGTCAAATCAGCTGCATTCAAACTCAAATTACCAGGCCAAACAAACGGCCCCAACTGGGGACTGGGCACTGGGGACCGACCGGCACCACAGTCAGAGCTCCCCAGCACCAAGCCGCTGCAATCTCCAACTGTTCCACAAATGAAAAGCCAACCGAAACTGTGCCTAAACACAAAATTTGTTGACGGCCCGCGGCACCCAGAAACATACAGAGAAAGAGAGAGAGAGAGCGAGAGAGAGAGAGAGGGAGGGAGCCTGCGGGTCCGTGTTTAAATTTATAGTACGACTTTTTCCAGCCCCATCCAAACTTCCAAGACCACATCCAGACATCCACTCTGGCGACCTGCATTTCTTTCCTTTTGTCCCACAGTTGTTTTTGCTCTGCAAATTTATTGTTGCAACGACTGCAACGAATTGCGTAAAATTGCCACAGCAATTGTGGCAAGTTTCAATTTGGTTGCAGGTAGGCCTGGTCTCTGCTGCCTGGTCTGGCAGGCAGTCTATGAAGTCATTAAGGCCTGCAGAGAACAAAATGGAAAGTGCAGAAGCACACGTGCTGTGCTGTGCTGCTGTATGTGTGCGTGCCACAAATGTTGCGCAACATTGTTGGTAGCATAAAAGCGCGCGTTCCGATCTGCAGCTGCTGCTGCCTGCCTGCCACTTCTCGTATTTGCATTGATCGACGACTGGACTGGGGACAGTAGAACCCTCCGTTCTCCGATCTCCATTCGCCATTCTCCCTTCGCACCAATTACTTTGGCAGTCGTTGACCCAGAACTGGTTTTCTGCCCGTTCTAGGGCCCTTTTCGAAAACTAGTTCAAAGCCAGGCATCGGCATCGGCATCGGCATCGGCATCCAGCGAGAAGGAGAGGGAGGGCCATTGATAACCGCAACTGGAGGTGGGAGCCGAGGCTGCAGCTGCTGTCTGGTGTCTGGTGCAGAGTCAGTGCCTATATTTAGCCAGATCGGAGCTTTATCTGGCATCATCCCAATGAATGATCATTATGCGGCGGACGGGACGCGTTGACAAATTGCCAAAGCTCTCGAGCGATGAGCGACGGCTCAATGCCCGGCCAAAGACGGCCTAAACGATGGACAGACAATGGCTTAAAAGGTTAGCCTCAAATCACTTTGGCACTTTGTGTGCGGTTTTCTCAAGTCATTTGTGTGATTTGGGTTAATGTCGACATTTCTGTCTGTGTTAACAATCCGAGGTTGAACATTTCTACAGCGAAAGTTACACCGTGCAACATAAAAGCAGGTTCTTGTACGGCTTCCGTCTTGTATGTGTTTCCCTCCTGGCACATACGCCTGCGGCAGGTGCGTTTGTACTCCCATCAAGACTGGTTTCCGTCTAAGTTTTACGAGATCTCTCAGCTGGACAGCAATTATGTGGCAGGACTGCTCCTCTCTCTGTACCTGTCTCTACACATGTCCTTTTATTGTTTTACCATCCCTTGCAGGGCCACAAAACAGCAGGCAAACCAGCAGAAAGAACAAAAGTTTATTAAAAAGCTTCGCCAGCTTCGTGTTCGCTGCGATTGTCATAAACGATTTTTGAATTGTCCATAAAACTGGCTGGCAGTGAAAGGACACGGCACGGATGGGAAACCTCGTAAAGTTTCTATGGGGTAGAATGTCCATATTCCCCGTGGCCCCACTATCCCCCTCCCATAGTGACTGACTGCCTGCATGGACCACGACACGTTCAGCCGCGTCTGCCTTGTCAACATGACATTTGGCGTGTTGACATTTTTATTGACTTTGGCAGGCGGCAGCGGCAGGCGGCAGCGGCAGGCGGCAGCGGCAGGCGGCAGCGGTAGCGGCGGGGAAACAATTTTTTGTTCGCACTCAACCTGAAAGTTGATTAAGAATGTGAGTCCTCCCCCCTCCCGACAACTCCATGGCACCTCTGCCTCCGTTCGACAGGGTGGTCTCTGCCGGGCTTGGGTGCCTTTATTACGCATACGCCAAGTGGCACTAATTGCCGGATGGAGGCAACTGTACTCTACCGATTGCCCGCTAATTTTTTGTTTCAATTTGCCAGTTTAGAAAGTTGCATCATTGTATATGGCTTATCTTTGGGTAACAACCAAACCAATTAAAGGTTGGGCGGCAAATATGTTGCTGCCACATCGCTTGTGGCTCTGCCTCTGCAGCTTCTTCCAATTCATTTCTGCTTAGTTCCTCTGGCTTCTCTGCTCTGCTCTGCTTTGGTAACGGGCAGGAAAATTGTTTTCCGAGCGTGCAAATTTTCACAGCTGCAAACAGCAGAACAACTATGCCAGCAATTTGTGTGCTAAGCGGCAACATTGAAGCGGAGGCCCCATCCCATCCCATCCCCAATGCAACACTCATCCGAGGCAGCTCTGAGAGCCAAAGACACCGCGAGCTCGAACGCAGACACAGACACACTCTTCGCTGGAAACGAACGTGCAACAGCAGCAGAAACCAAAACACTGATCAGGTTTGTGGAAGAAGCAGCTCAATGTTATGGCTAGGAGAACGCATTGCAGCAGCTTTTCCACTCCTAGTTGCATCATCAATGCAAATTTTCTGCAGGGGCGGCCGGGAGAGGGTTGCCGGGAGAGGGCCGCCGCAGAAGGTGTGTTGTGGCCAAAGTTCCAATTTGTTTTCATGGTAATTGATTCAGGGCATTAATTTTTATTCGAAGCGGACACCAATTAATTCCAAACTTTGTTTGCCAATACATCAAAGAACAGAACACAAACGGCCAGCAGACGCATCATGTGCTGTGCTGCTCTGGGTCGCCCACCATTCCCTCATTCCCTCATTCCCACCTCCAGGCTGGCCCACAGAGACTACACCTACCCACTACCCCCGTTCCTTTGGACCAACTCCATCGCCAACTCAAGCACCGCCTGGCTGTGTGTGTTCCACAAGAGGAGGAGGAGGAATAGCAAATGGAGGAGGAGGAGGAGGCCTACGGCATCCATTTGGAGACGTTGCCTGGCTGTTGGCTGCTGGCTGCTGGCTGCTGCTTCTGCGGTCGTTGTCTTTGGTCTATGAACTTGTTTTCTCTGCTCTGCCTCTATCCACTGTGCCTCTTGTGCCCCATACCTCGCCTGCCCCTACCTGTGGCCCCTTTCCGCACTTATTTTTTAATTGAAGCCGTGTCTTTGGCTCTTTCTGTTCTTTTTTTCCACCATCCATGCTTTTTGTTCCTTGTCGTCTTTGGGTTTTTTTCTCTCTACGACTTTTTGTTGCTTTGATGCTTCGATTTTTATACTACATTAATGCTGGCTTTATTGCCGGAGTGATTATGCTCAATTTTGTTTTTGACCATAATTACATTTCGTTCTTCTTCCCCGCCCGGACACGGCATCCGTTAGGTCGAGTGGTTTGGAACTCGGGTCTGCTTTGGTTTTGACGATGATTCGGTAAACAAATTGGCATTGATTGATTTTTATTTGGCCGTGGATCCGTACCGTAGCGCACTAATGCAAACAGATGAAAAAACAGAGTGCGGGAAATCACGCTTTGAGTGTTGG